AATTAAAGAACGAATTAAAATTAAAATAGAAGGTATCAATAAGAAAAAGACTATTATGATTATATAATGAAAACAAATTAAATAATATAATAACAACAAAATCATTGTAAAAATAAAAAAATAAAAAAATAAAAAATAAGTGAATAAAAGCAGTTAAACAAATATTCTAAACTAAAAAAATATTATCAAATAAACAAAGAAAAATCTGAATTTAAAGTAAAATTAAAATAGAAGCTACAAATAAACAAAATATTATTATGATTATCTAAATAAATAATGAAAAAATAACATAATATGATACCAACTACATAATAATAAAATACCATAAATAAAGAACAATAAGTAAATTAAACAAATAAATAAATAAATAAATAATCTAAACAAAAAAAAAAAATTAAGAAGAATAAAATGCAAAAATAAATTAAAAATATGATATAAGGTATAAAAGAAAGAAATGATATTATTATTTAGAAGATATAAAAAAATAACAATAATATAATACCAACAACAACACATAAGTGAATAAATATTTATAAGGAAAATGAATGAATGAGTGATTAATTTAAAAGCACATTAAAATGGATTAAATATAATAGAAAATAAGTAACTATATCAACCAATTATAAAAAAAAAAAAAATTTAAAATATTTAAAAATAAATTTAAAAGTGCACAACAAAACGGTGTATTATATATATGAGTATATATTTTATAAAGTTAAACATAAGAGCACATCCTATCTCCAAAACGCAGACGCAAGTTCATTTCTTCATCAGCAGACACACAGTTTGAGTATTTAAGTGCAATAATAATAGCGAGCGCCCGCACACACACTTCTGCTTGCTTTAATAAATGTTGAGATTGATATTCATCTTGATTAGGTGATGAAAATGAAATGGCCAGGGGTCGCGGTGATGCACAGCAGATTGAATCAAATGCCGTTAATGATAATCAGCAATCTAATTACCACTTTCATTCTGGCGTGCAAACGATGAGCGAGTGTTAATCGGAGTATTGATCAAAGTGTGTGAGGAATCATCCGTCAGTGTGTGTGTGTCTGATGCTCATAACACTCCAACAATATTTCTTCATCACTTTTACAAGCTTCATTTCGCTGCTCAATAGGCCGATTGATAACGCGGTAAAACACAGATTGTTTATTCATTGAGATACTGTATGGTGAGTGCGGTAATCATATTGTTATGTGCTAATAATCTGACCATGCTGCTGAAATTCAGCACTGACTCACGGAAATAATTCACGTTTGTATAGTTTATTGAAGTTGAGAAGTTTGATTTTTAAATGAATAATATTTGTATGTTTTTTGATCAAATTAATGAAGGCATTTTAAATAAATAAATAAATAAAATAAAAAACACACAAACAATTTTATTCATTCCAAATAGAGGCTGGGTATGGTCAATGACAGTGTATATATTCTTACCATGAAAAAACGTATCAACCATAAAAGATTATATACATATAATAAATTAAACTTTAAGCTACTTTAAGCTTAGAAATTAAAACCTAAAATTACTTTTTAACTAAGCTATTTAAAATGTAAAACTAGTTTATACGAATGACAGGATTTGTAGTCCATTTGGTGGCAAGTTGTGACTAGATCGCTGGTGACTGTAACACTACTTTTAACATAAAAATACTTATAACTAATTTTAAACTTTAGGCTACTTAAAATTTAAAACTACTTAAAACTACTTTTAAATTTTAAACTTAAATTTTGTTTAAACTTAAAGCTACTTAAAAATTAGAACTACTTTTAAAGTTAAAATTACTTTTACTCTTTAAGCTACTTAAAACTTAGAATTACTTTTAAATGTTATGCTACTAAAAACTTAAAACTGCTTAAAACTACTTTTAAACTTTAAGCTACTTGAATCTTAAAACTACTTAAAACTTAGAACTTTTAAATTTGAAGCTACTTAAAACCTAAAGATACTTTTAACTTTAAGCCACTTAAAACAGAACTACCTTAAACAATTTTTAAACTTTAAGTTACTTAAATCTAAGAACTACTTAAAACTTAAAAGTGCTTTTAAACTTTAACTACCTAAAACAGAAATAACTTATAACTTAAAACTACATTTAAACTTTAAACTACTTAAAACTTAGAAATACTTTTAAATGTTATGCTACTTAAAACTCAAAACTACTTAAAACTACTTTTAATATTTAAGCTACTTAAAACAAAACTACCTTAAACTATTTTTGAACTTTAAGTTACTTGAATATTAGAACTACTTAAAACCTAAAGCTACTTTTAAACTTGAAGCTACTAAAAATAAAAAACTACTTTTTAAATGTAAAGTTTTTAAGCTACTAAAAACATAGAAATTCTTAAAACGACTTTTAAACTTTAAGCTACTTAAAGCATAGAAATAACTTAGAACTGCTTAAAACTACTTTTAAACTAAAATTACTTTTAAATGTTATGCTACTAAAAACTTAAAACAACTTAAAAATACTTTTGATTAAGCTACTTAAAACAGAAGTACCTTAAACTATTTTAAACTTTAAATTCCTTGAATATTAGAACTAAAAACTTTAAACTTGAAGCTACTTAAAAAGTAAAACTACCTTAAACTACTTTTAAACTTGAAGGTACTTAGAATAAAAAAATTTTTATTTAACCTTTTGAAGCTACTAAAAACATAGAAATACTTCAAACGACTTTTAAACTA